ACTGGGTGTCAGGAACTGGATGGAGCCTGCCCTGCTGGGTCACTACCGGTGGTGAGGGCCTGGCCGGGAGGAGGGAGGGTGCTGTCAGGAATGGAGCAGGCCAGGCACCGGCTCCAGGACGGCCAAGGCTTGGCTGTAAATATCACTTATGGTGGCAGAACCTAAGAGTCTGTGAAGAATTTTCGTTCTGCCCAGGAGAACTACATTTACAGTTGTGGTAATTCTGACTTACGACACAGCGCGTTCACTCTCATCTCAGGCCCCACCAGCCCCGAGAGGTGACCTGCGGGCCAGGTCACGTGGACTGGGAGGCCAAGCAAGGTTTTTTGAGTGGAGCCCTGTCTCCTAGCTGAGCCCTGGCCATGGGAAGCATTTTCAGAGCACACGGGCTCAGCACAGACTAAGGTCCCTTCTAAGGCCAGTTTTCATGGACTTGCAGATAAACTATCTGAACTTCACTTTCCAGGAAACATAAGCAAAAACTGTACGAGTGACGGATGGTCGGAGACGTTCCCAGATTTCGTCGATGCCTGTGGCTACAGCGACCCGGAGGACGAGAGCAAGGTAGGCTCCCGCGGGCTGCCACGGTGGTGGGTTCCGCTTCCTGACCCTGCACCAGCAGCCCCCTCCTGCCCTGCTAGAATTATGTAGATATTTCCCCTAAATAATCCTCTGAGTACCGACGCTACTTCCCGCTTTCCAAGTTAAGCGGAGTCCCTGTTTCCATTCTGCTGCTGCACTTGGGATTGTTTGATTGTTCCGTCATTTTGCAGGCAGGGAAAGGCAGGTTTTCCTGACCTGCTGTGTGCATGTCTGGGAGATGGTGAGGAAGATCTAAGAGTGGCCCCGCCTGCCCGAAAGTAACTTTTCAGATGGGTCCTGGAGAGCACACCCTTTCCGCATTTGGATTTCTTGTCCCATTTAAGATTTTGCCACATTCTGGGCATTGAGAAGCCAGTGCCATGGTTTCCTGAGCCCTGAGCCTGCAGTAGGAGATGTGACCACAATTAGGGTGTCTTTTCAAGCTAAGAGACCCGGCTTGTCCTCGGCCAGGAGGCGTCTGGGAGCAGGGGTCCCAGGGTGAGTTGGGGACCCCCGATCCGGGCTGCACAAACTTGCTGCAGTGACCTGGGGCTCTCGGGCGTTATGTCCACTGCAGGGCTGTGATGTTTCAGTAATGAGGATGTTTCTCCCAAGTGTGGGATGAGTGGCCTTAAGCTCTGCTCCATCTGTGCCAACTTCCCCAGCTCTGCCTCAGGCGGCTGCTCCTCCCGAGGGCTCACTCTCCACAACATCGGCCTGTGGTTTATCAGCAGACAGACCTCCGTCCTTCCCCGCAGCCCTGGCAGCACCATGTGGGTGCCCGGTGCCCTATCATCCCGCAGCCAGAGGTGTGTGCAGAGGGTGCTCCCTGCACAGGCGAGGCAGGGGGCAGGGGATGCACTGGAGGCTGCTCTAAGGAGCCCTGGGAAGGGTCGCACTCCCCACATGCAAACTTTCTCCTGCAAGTCCACAGAATTCCCGGCGAAATCATCAGCTCGTGGGCCGATCGCCTCCTGCCCTGACCGTGCTCCACCTGCCCCTCCTGGAGGTGTGGCTTCTGCCCTCGGGGTCCCCAGGGGATGGTGGCAATGCTGCCTAGCTGCCTCTTGGGGGAATGAGCCCAACTTTCTCCCAGAGGCTTCCTCTGCTCACTTCTCTAAGATTCACAACTCTAAGCCAGTTCTCTCTCCACCAAATTATTAAACCCTAGGAAAGGAAGTATCTTATGCAGTGACCAATATCCCAACAACTGGAAGATAAAACTCCTGACCCTGGTATATTAGTTCATTTTCATCCTGCTGGTAAAGATGTACCTGAGACTGGGCAATTTATAAGAAACAGAGCTTTGATGGACTCACAGTTCCGTGTGGCTGAGGGGGCCTCACAATCATGGCAGCAGGTAGAAGAGAGAATGAGAGTCAAGCGAAAGGGGAAACCCCTTATCAAACCATCAGACCTCGTGAGACCCATTCGTGTCCACAAGAACAGTCTGGGGGAGCCGCCCCCATCATTCAGTTCCCTCCCACTGAGTCCCTCCCACAACACGTCGGAATCATGGGAGCTACAATTCAAGATGAGATGTGGGTGGGGACACAGGCAAACCACATCGCGTGACCAGTGGATAAGGTGGTGGCTGCTGATGTTGGCGGGTGTTACTATGAGTCCACTGTCTGTGTTACTTCAGTTAGGCTTGAAAACAACTCACTGCATGGATGGAGAAGCTGAGGCTTAGGGGAGTGGTGAGGTGTGCTCCCCACTGGTGAGCAGCCACAGCCAGGCCCCGGTCAGTCTGATTCCCAGGCAGTCTGCTTGTTGCCATCTGGTCAGGACAGCGCCTGGTCCCACCGCCCTCCCTGAGTGGGTTGAAGGCACCTGCAGGAGCCACCCGGCTGGGGACTGCATTGACCTGTGGGCCTGTCTAAGATGCGCTGTCGCCCATGGCTTCCAGTGGAGTTGAGAGAAGACTGAGTTGAGTGTTGGGGGCCCAGCTCCGGTGCACATGGCTGTGAGCCCTTGAAGAAGGCCCTCAGGAAGGTCCTGGGGCGCATGGCTACACCCAGCTCAGCCAGGGAGAGGGGGAACGTTGAGGCCTCTGTCGTCGCACACCGTGGCTGACAGCTGGCTCCGGTGTGTGAAATCACAGCAGTGACAACACCGTCTGCCCCAGGCTTCCATAGGAAAGGGAGCAGCCAGGGGTCTCGGGGGCTTCTGTAGCCTGGGGGGGATTTCAAGGTCCAGGTGGGATCCCCGGTGTGTTAGAGGCACCATCTCTGAGTCTTCGTCTTTGTCTGCCCCTGGCTGGCAGCTGTGCCTGGGAGACATTAGGACAGAGGTGCTGGTGAAGAGCAGAGACCAAGACCCCCAGCAGCATCACCCAGAGCCCCACATGTGCAGGCTCCGTCAGGAGGCCTGGGCCTGATGCTCCTTTGTTCATTCTCTCCTTCCTTTATTCACTCCATGAATAAGCTTTCCCTGGGTCATAGAGAGTGACGTGGATCTGGGAGGCAGTGACAGCCACCGCCTGCGTGGCAGTGTCAGCTCACAGAGTCATGCCCAAGCTTCTTATCTCCCGTCTCCCCCGGCCACACCCTGGGAGGCATCCCAGGGACACGTGGCAGGCTCTTCTGGGTCCATTGGTCCTTCATCAAGGCCTGTAATTAAACCCTGCCTGCGTGAGCACAGTTGCTCTGTGATCCCCCGATGCTTTGCTGTTTAGTCTGAAGGACTATTTTTCTTCTTAATTAAACATTTCAGAGATTCTGCAAATATTATAAGTACATATTCACTGCTAAGGGATTAGAAAGTCAAAATATTTTAAAGTGAGAAAGCAAGGAAAAGGATGGCACAAAACCAAAATGAATAATTTTTCTTCCTGTTGCAGTTTCTGGTCTTTGAATACTTTGAATACTTGGCTGGTTTAGGGACTCGTTTCCAAGATGAGGCGACGGCACATAGCGCAGGGCGTTCTGGAGGCTGCAAGCGCCAGGACAGGCCCCAGGCAGGCGCGGGGCGGACACGCACGGCCCTGGGCCGGCCCTGCCCTCCGGCGAGCACAGGACTGCCTGGGAGCTGAACTGAACAGAGTTCCTTCTGCCCGGAGCTCATGCTTCGTCCCATCAGTGCCCACTTGCTTCCCAGATTCACATTTTTAGTTGTGTTTCCTGCTTGCACAGGGCCAAAGTCTGCCCTGGGTGTTGTGTGTGCAATCGTTATTGTTCATTGTTTTCAAAATTAATTAAATTTGAGAAAAAAAATTAGCCTCCACAGAAGCCACAGACTTGTCTACATGTGTGAGGAAATCAGCAGAGATGTGGGTGTGGGAGCCCCTGGGAGGAGAAGGGCTCTGGGGACCAGAGGGCTCTGGGGCAGCCCTGGGCACTGCTGAGCAGCTGCATCTCATCCGGACCCAGAGCCTGCTGGGCTGTATGGGCCTTGGCTGTGGTCTGGGCCTTTATTTGGGGTCTCACCTGCTACAGTCAGATCCTGAAGCAGGTTCGCCAGCCAGGGATCAGTCTCCATATCCGAGGTCTTCCCGTCTGTGTCCTCCTCCTGCCAAGACCAGCTTTCAGGCCTGAGGGAGTCTTAGGTCTTCACTGAGTAAAGGGTTTCATCCCACGGTGTATCAAGGAGCAACGGCCTCAGCCCTTGCCCTCCACTGCTGCTCCTCTCCCCTTTCCCACCCTCACTTCCCTGTAAGCCACAGTTCTCCCAGCAGACTGAGGGCTCGGGATCACCAAACGTGGGAGGCTCCCCCAAGCCGTGTGCTGGGGCCCGATAGCCCTGCCCTACCCTGCCCTGCCCTTCATCCCATCACATCCCTTCTGTGCTGATGGTTGGGGGCTGGGGTTCCCATTGTGTGGAAAACAGAAAACGGCTCAGGCAGAGGATGGGAGCGGCAGCGGCCGGCAGGGCTGGTGTGAGGCTGGGGATTCCACTCACCCCGGTGGGGCTCAGGCTTCCAAGAGGCCACTGAGGAGCTCCTGGGACTCATCGTGGTATGGGCTCTGGCCCAGTGGGTCTGGGTGGGGCCTGAGACCCTGCCTTTCCAGCACATTCCCAGCTGATGCCAGTCAGAGTCAGAGCCTGGAATCCTTACACGAGAGGCCAGAAGCCTTGGCCTCATCATTCCAGGCCTGAGAATCCGCCCAGCTGTCACTCACCGATGGCTGAGTGATGTTGCACAAAGCCCTGTGCCGCCCTGTCCCACTCCTGGGATCAGACCCAGAAATCTCGGTCTGTGCATCCCAACGGGCTGGACTTGCTGCTCAGCTTCCGAAAGGTGCCTCTTCAAGCCTGTGTTTCTTGAAACAAGGCACTGAAAAGCACACTTTGTGTCAAAAGCCCAAAGGGAGTGGGAATTCTTGGTGATTTGGATTTCATCTCAGGCACCGATGAAAGAGCACGGAGTGGGGGCCTCCCTCCTTGAGTCAGGGTCAGGCAGGGGTAACGCAGTCGAACCTCTAAGACCCTGTGCACTCACAGCCCCTGCCGTTGCTTCTGTGGTGGAGGCGGCCGGGGCGGAGCGCGGTGTTCCCGGGACGGCCCCAGCAGCACACCATGGTGGGCACACGAGGTGGCCGGCTCCCGTAAGTCTTCTGTGTCACATACTTGTTAACTCCATTCCTACATAAAGAGCACGTCTGCTAAATTTAGCCACGAGAACTGTTTGGCATTTCGGCCTTCCCGTGCTTCAAGTGCATGCATTTCTTCCGTGTTACGCCACATCCCTAAAAATAAGCCTGTGCCCTTCTCCAGCACTCAGGCCCCTGCGGTGACTCGTTCCCACTGATGGCACACCTCACTCTCCAGGGCTCCCATCCCTGGTGACAAAGATCACAGCAGCTGGCACTGCGGACGCCTTTGTGGGAGGCCCCATCTGGTCATCCCGCCAACCCTCCTGCAGCCCTGCAGGGACACGCCAGCCTCCCACGGTGCCAGGAGGGGCCTGGCAGAGACCCCCAGAGCAGCCTGCCCCAAACCACCTCTGAGAGCAGCAGCGTTTCCGAAGGAAGCTTCCCCTC